GCAGCTAACAAGTCAAGTCAAACACACAACTCACGCGTATTTATATAATATTTACAATCGATATTGTCATAGAAAAATTTTAAACACATTTAATCGATAGTTCATCAATTGACCTATTTGCACATCTAATTGATAGGTTCATAAACTGACTGCTATACAAACATTTAATCAATAAGTTGATCGATAGGATAAAATTTAAAAATATGAGTTTGGGGATCTATCATCCCCAACACTCCTCCCCTTTTTAATAGCGGACTTTCCTGGGGTCAACCTGCATCTTGACTGTAGCTCGCCGTTCTCGGATAGGCCACCGTCTGGGACGTGTTTCAGCTTGTTGTTGAGGTTTTTCTTGTGGTGGGGTTGCCGGTAAGTTGAATGTGTCTAGCAGAATGTCAAGAGGAATATTTACTTTGGTTGATGGGCGGTCTGGGGCTAACCGTTTGCGTAACTGATTACGATGGCGTTGCCATCTGTCACTGCCTACCTCAACTTCGTACATGACTCGGCCAACTCTCCTGACCACTCGCGCTTCTGTCCATGGACTATGGGTCGGTCTGTAATCACGGGCAAACACAGGACATCCCACTTCGTACGTGGATCGCTTTTCAAACTTTGTCCGTTCTGGTTTCGGTGCGTTACTTGGATGCATCAGGCTGTGGATCGTCTTCAGTCTTCTTCCCATTAGGATCTCTGCTGGGGACTTTCGCTCCGGCAACGTCTCACTTGGTGTTGTTCGATACACATATAAGAAATTTTGTAACGCGTCTGCTTGCGTCCTCTCCCCTTTTGTCTTAGCCAAGGCTCTTTTAAACGTATCCACAAACCTTTCTGCTTGCCCATTCGACTGCGCGTGGTATGGTGGCGAGCGTAAGTGCTTTATGGCTAGTCATTTACAGAATGACTGGAATTGGCTGGAGGTGAATTGTTGTCAGATACAATGGCATCTGGTATACCATTTCGGGAGAATATGTCTGTGAGGATTTGTATTGTTTTAGTCGTCGTTGGCGGTATGATAGGGTTGATTTCAGGCCATTTCGAAAGGGCGTCGACTACAACTAGATACATTGTTCCGTTAATCGGGCCTGCAAAGTCGACGTGTATCCTGGGCCAAGGATGATCAGGTTGTGGCCATGAAACTGGTGGAACTTTGGCGTTCACTTTTGCTGCTTGCTGACACGGTGTGTGGTCCTCTGTCAATAGGGAGGTAATAACTGCATCTTCGCCGGCCGTATGGCGTTCGCTGGTTGACAACTCCGTCATTAGGTTTTCCGTACATGCTTCCAAGTCATGTGGTTGTTGTCGAAGTTGGGGTTGTGATACCAGGTTGCATATGGTATTCAACGGGACATCAGCTAAATTTAAGTGATCGAACCAATCTAACCCAAGCAAATTTAGATCAGCTGGTGTTATGTAGCATACCCCAACAAATGCCAAATCACGGAAAGTAACTGTACATTCCATTTGTCCAAGCAGGTGAAGGTAATTACCACACGCAGTACGAGGCTTTTGCGTTGTACGCTGCAAGTTTGGGCTGCCCATTTCGGTCCAAGTCTTATGAGAAAGGATAGTGACATCTGATGCTGTATCTATTTGCAATCTAGATGAATGCCCATTAATGTTAACAGTAATAAACTTTCTCTGACCTGGTGATGAGCTTTGACACGAAGATATTAAGCTCAATGAATTGGTGCGGGATCTAGGAAGGGTCTTTTTGGTATTTCTGGATTGACTTGGAGTCTTCTTCCTCAGACAAAACCCATCCTAATGGCCGTTAAGTTTACACTTCTTGCATCCATGTTGCATAAATGGGCAGTTTCGAACGTAGTGCCATGCACCACATTGCCAGCAAGGAGCAGGAGGAGTTGCTGTAGTTTGTCGTCTCGGGCTGCAGTGAGATGGACTGGATGAAGCGGGGACGTGTTTGTTTTTGTAAGGTATTTGTTGCACCGCTCGTACTTCAGATCGGTTAGACCCACCACTCTGGACCATAGAAGTGTCTCGTTGCAGATTAATGAGACGCTGATATTCATTAGCTATATCACTCAGGGTGAGTTTCGGCTCTTGGTCCAAACGACTCAGTAGTCTTGTTCGTAAGTCACTAAACTTTTGGTGCTGCAGGCTGCAAATAAGTATCAGGGTTTTAAACTGATCTTCAGTCAAGGACTTTAACCGGAAGCGTTCGCATTCACGGTTGACGACGCCTACATGCGTAAGAAAATCATCATCTTCGTTCATAGTTAGCTTCAAGCAACGATAACGAGTATTAAACAGTGACGAATTATCGCCAAAATGTTGGCTTAATGTTTGAACTGTGTCTTCAAATGATCGATCACGTGGGTTCAACGGCAGGATCAGATTACAATACTTGTCCAGCTCATTTGCACCCAGTTTACGAAGTAGCAGCCGCACTTTCCAAGCATCATCTTGGTTGGCGAAATCAAATTTAAATAGATCTTCATAACGCCTGAACCACATCTCGAAAGTAACATTAGCATCAGGATCGTAATGAAATTCAGCTATGCTATTTGCGATGCCATCAACCGATGGTGCTGTGGTCGAACTAGACGTGCTTGGTTGTAAAGGAGGCGTAATCTTGGTCTCCATCAACATTTGCATCAATTTCATCTGCTGCTCAAGTAACAGTTCAAGTTTCGCAGGGTCCATAATTCAAAAACCACCGTCGCCAATTTGTTATGATTTGTTTATTCGCTTGAATGCTATTACTGATGCGTCTTACTCAACGAACGAAGGATC